AGGGGGTTCACCCGCCCACCAGTGCTTCGAAGAAGAAGAAGGAGAAGAACAGATTCAACCTCAAGATAACACATACATTACCTTTTACCCAGACTCCATGTGAAATTATCATAAAATATTTATATTGGAATGAACAAAAAATCATATCACCATCGAATCATTCTTGGTCCATTGGTTCATTTAGTTGTTACTGATTTCTGGCTACCAGCAATCTGAATTTATTCAGTTTACTAATGACATGCAATGTATATTCAGGAATTCAGGTACATCCTGTTCCATCCCTAATTTCATGAAGGAAATGATTCAGAACAGAGGCTCTACATGACATTTGCCCATTGACCCCAGACTATCAGCTGAGGAAGGCATTGGACCCTCGTTAATGATTTGATTGAGGTTTAATGGATCTGCAATCTGATCGTACTCATCAAATTTCCCCCTGAGATACGAAACGAAACTCAATATTCTGGTGAACAGAGAACGGCTAGAGCCCCAAGATAATTTGCATATACAGGCTAAATTGATTATCAGATCTCCGAGTGCTTCTGAATAGGTGATGATAGGATGCGGGAACTCTTCACGTTTTCCGAAGTACATGTTCGTGACTTGTTTGGGGGGATCATATCGAATACGGAATACAGGTAAAAGTTTTTGCATAACAGAATTCTTAAACTTCCGGAAATTCCATAAACCTATTGATACTCTCTCTAAAGGTTCATTCAAATTAAGTGGCCATCAACATTGTAATTATCAAAGTCACTACGTCATTCAAATTGGTAAACTGACAGTATTAAGAACAGTCTTTGTACTGGATGATGGACAAAAATGACATGAGTTTCGACTGAACGTATAATTTGGTTGCATGAAAAGTTCTGCTCTGAGAAAAATAATGAATACCTTATACCTTATTTACATATAATGCCTTATATCAAGAGATAAGAAATATCTGAACAATACCTAATATTTTCCAAAGGCTGATGTAGCACTAGTAGAGTCAATTGGGACGTTCTAAAGGCCCATCATTGATAGATGTTTCGAGTTTGTTTATGGAGGAATATGCTCAACCAGTCGACAAAATTACCTAAAGAAACTGTCTTCGAGATGAGATATCAGTTATTTCCAAAGTGTTAGAAATTGAGAGAGCCATCAATATCCAATTCATCCAAAATTCAGGAATCATAGATAATCGACAGTTAATTTTTGCCGTAGGAAAAAACGTGGATTTACTTGATCACGTAACTCATTCATGATGAGCTTCATGAGGAGAACTAGGGGAATCTCTAGCTATGGCGTTGGAATCATAGGGAGCATTTGACCGTGTTCGATTCCAAGCACCTCTTCACAAACTCCCATCATATAGCTCATTACCTCAGCTATGCTTTCTCCAATCAAGATTTCTCCCAGACAGATCGCTTTGCAATAACGAAACTTCTTTCTCTGTCACACTCATTTAGCATATGGAAACTTCGAACGCGAATATCTGCGTAATCGTTCAAAATAACCCTATCGAACTCGGTATCCATGAATTCGTTATAAAATTCCCTTAACGATTATAAACTAGGTGCCTACCAATTTTCAAAACTCTACCTCGAATAATTATAAAGTTACAGTCCTGGTCGATTTTTGGTGCACTTCTCTGTATAAAGACATCCATAAAGACAACTGTCATCGTATAGCAGAGAAAAAGTAGCCCTCGCATATGAGGTGCATAAGTTCAGAACATTTTCCAACACCTACGTCCTCTCCCTATCCACCCTAAGTACGTACGAACCACGAACATTATAGGAATTTTCATCTCGTGCGCTCCAAGAGATAGGAAAGAATGACGTCAGAAAAAAATATGAATGAATGGTAATTCAGAAATCCTCCTCTGATCAATATACACAGAGTGTCATTTCCAACCGATATACAGTCTGTCCAAGATAAGGTTGAACAGCATGGGGATCTCGAAAACGGTAAGAGATACGAAATTGGTTGAATGAGGAAAAAGTTGCGCATTCGGAGGCTTATATCAAGAGCCTTCAAAAATTTTGAAAATTATTTTTAGTTTTTGAGTTATATCGAAAAAAGTGAATTTTTGGAACTTCTATTTTATTTTTTTTTCTCCGTTATTATTAGAGATACAGCAAAACTGAGAATACTTTTCAGAAGCAACTTTTGATGACGGTCAACGTAGTGATACCGATTTTTTCATGCGACGTTTAGTATTCGTAGAACCATCATCAACTTTCGTTTTTAAATACGGTCCTGATAATTTTTTCACAGATTCTAAAAGGTTTTTTTATTCTGAATTCAACCATGTATCATACAAGGTGGTTCATTTGTGTTTCGACCTATTTTTGGCCATCATCAATGTTTTTTCGAAACTCCAAAGGAAAAATGCCATCAGTTCCACTTATTTTGAAGGAAAATTAGTCAACACACTAATACCTCATCAACTGGTTTCAATCAACAACTCATTTCATTTTGCAGAAACAAAAATTCCATCCATACAAATTCAGAATATGTCAAGCGCTAAAACCAGGCGATGACGAAAGGCGCAAGACATTCTGTGAGTGGTATACCAGGAAATGTTAAAATTTTGCAGATTTCTTTCGAACAATCATCTGGACTGATGAAAGCATGGTCACTAATCATGGTAGCTTCGATAGAAAAAAATACACATTATTGTTCACGAGAAAATGAACATTTATACATTACAGCGAGACACCAACACCGTTTCGGCTTCAATATGTGGGTTGCAATATTTGGTTCACGAATTATTGTTCCTTCTATTAACCATGAAACACAGACTTCCGAACGTTATAGAAATTCGCTTGAGAATCATCTTGAGGAAGCTCTGGATGATTTCCCGATTGCGGAAGTTCAGATCTCTGTTGGTTTCAACAAGATGGCGCTCCGGTACATAATTCCAGAGAAGTCCGTGCGTTTTTATCCCTTGGCCGGCGCGGTCGCCTGATTTGACACAGCTGGATTTTTTCTTAGGGGATATATCGAACTTTGTACACGCAAATAACTTTGAGGATGAAGAAGAACTAAGGGACAGTGTCTTCGAAGCATTCAATAGAATAACCCCAGAAATGCTTAGCAATGTCTTAGAAACAACTGTGAGAAGAGGATATCTTTGTTCAGAAAATAATGGTTATCATTTTGAACATTTGTTATGAATGTCTCTGTAGGTATTGTCAAAGTTAAGTTGTTAAAGTAATTCGTGTAAGAATTCATCAACAATTTTAAACGCTGCATTGATCGAATGATGTAGTAAAATATTTTTTATTCACTTTTCAGTATTGAATAACTAATCCATCAAGTTTGACACTAAATGATAAGAAATAAGTGGAACTGATGGCTTTTTTTCTTTTGGAAGTTCGAAAAAACATTGATGATGGATAGAAATAGGTCGAAACACATTCGAATCACCTTGTATAGTACATTTATGAATTTAGAATAAAAAAATCTTTCAGAATCTGTGAAAAAATTATCAGGACCGTATTTAAAAAACAAAAGTTGATGATAGTTCCACGAATACGAAACGTCGCATAACAAAATCGGTATCACCACGTTAAACCTTATCAAAAGTTGCAATGAAATAGTATTTTCAGTTTTCCTGTATCTCTGATAATAACGGAGAAAAAAAAATAGAAATTCCAAAAATTCACTTTTCTCGATATAACTCAAAAACTAAAAATAATTTTCAAAATTTCCGAAGGCTCTTGATCCTTCAAGCGACTTCGTATCTCCTACCGTTTCCGAGATCCCCATGCTGTTCAACCTTATCTTGGACAGACTGTATATCTTTCCTCTTGATAGCATTTTCCAAAAATGTCGGTGATTTCATAGCTGCTGGCAAGCAGTGTTTTCACTGGAGTTATTCCCCCTTGGTCCTTGAATGTATCATTGGCATCTCTCTTACAGTTGCGAATTTATGAATCCAACCACAATGATTATTGCGGAAGATACGGACACACTGAAAATATTGTCGTGAATATTTCTGAAATTGTGATAGAAAAAGGTAGATTATATATATATATATTCGAAATTGAAACGCCTGAGACTATCTGACTATGCTAAAATATACGGGATGTTCCATGAGAAAAAATATAATTGGTTGCCGTAACTTCTGTATGAAATTTCTAATGATGCCAATGGATTGTTCACATCATACTGTTACGTTATTCGGATGCAGAAGCGAACACGACACTATTTATTTTCGAACTGATTTATTTGAACTACAGAAACACTAATTTATTTATCGAACTTATAACTACTATTTATGTAAAACGATTCATATCACGCGGTATATAACTGTCTTTGTGACACTCGCTGCTCGACTGACTGACTCAGTTGTTCGGCCGTCTTATATATGAAAACACATGACAGGCTTTGGTCGAGAACGTTTTCGAATGATCTTCCGTCTCTTTCTTTTCGTTCTAGAAGCTTCTTAGAACGAAACCTCTCTCTCTAATTGTTCCATCGATTGTTTCCAGAACATTCCAGAATCTCCTGTGACGTTATTTGTCACTGCGGCATATATTGAGTGTTCGGAAATATGCTGGTGTATGTAGGAATCATTGAGAGGTTGGAGAGCAATCGGAGATGCATGATACAGGATGATCGTTGTACTCCTGCCTTCCTGCTGATGTTTCTAAAGCCCCTCCAAGGGGAATATCATTACAATACTATATGAATTAACTTCCGAGAATTTTCAATATCCCCCACCAGAAAGTACCTAAAAAATAAAAACGAAATCGGCAATTTTTCAATTTCCCCCTGTATCTCTGAAACGAATGAAGATATCAGAATTCTGAATGCTTAATTTTGAGTATCTCTGAAATCGAACCCGTAACTTTTATATCGGTTTTTCGATAACTCCTTTAGTTATTGAGATATAGCCGTGAAAACGTCCAATTTTGCCCACCCTGTACGTCCGTGTACTGTCAGTTCCCGCCTTCCCCATTGATTTATTTACGGTTATGTCTGATTGTCAGTGCTTGTCATAGTGTCCGTACTCTAATATACGAAAAACGTCAAGAGAGCAGTGTCAAGTACATTTAGGAACTGTAGACTGGACTAGACGAAGTGAAACCGACGCCGTTTGCGCCATTTGCGCCAGCGTCGCGGCAAGCACGACGGAACGGGCCGCAGGCTGCCCCTTGAATCCTGCCATTCCTATTCCTGCCAGTCTCCACCGAGAGCGCGTCAGTCCCGCGTCGCCGATTTCTGCGCACGTGTCGCGATCGCAGGTCGCGTGCTGACGCATCCGATCCTCGCACGTGATAATTGGCCGGCAAGTGTTTTATGGCGGCCGCCGCAGCGAATGAGGTCCTGACTGGGCCGGCATGATTTACTGGCGTTTTAACGATGGAACGAAGGTTATGTGTTGTTTTACTTCATTTTTAGTTGATAACTAGGTGTCCGTACGATTTGTCACATGTAATGCTACAAACACAGTTTATACATTTTTCCTTGAACCAAGCCACAAGGATGCGTTCATAAGCTAACTCAGAGAAAGGATTTCTCCGAATTGTCCAAACCAAAGCGTTCACAAACCTACTCTAGCAGTTTAGTTTAGACTTTGGACTATGCATATAGAATTGTTCTGAAATTTACTCGAAGTAAGCTCTTTTCATCGATCTATCAGATTAATGTCATGTTGTATTCTAACAGTCATGTAAGTTATGTTTATCGTTGTTTGTTTATGTTATGGATGAATATCTGCTCGATCATCCTCAGAAATATTCGTTTTTTGATGATGTAGTGTATATCCCTTTCAGATAATCTTTATTTGTGACATGATTATGGAATATACTCTATATATATTATGAACTGTGTCAGAAGGATCCGTTCATTATCTCACTCTGAGGATGGATCACTCCAAATTGTCCAAAGCGTTCACAAACCAGCCCTATAGCAGTTCAGACCGAAATTATGCATATATATATTCAGAATCGTTCTGAAACTCATTCAAAGTAAGCTCTACCCGAGGCTCTATACCTATTCCTCTCAAATTACAAGATGTACTCTGACAGTCATGTAAGTCTTGTTCATCGGAGTTTGTTTATGTTTTGAATAAATATCTGCTCGATTATTCTTAGGAACATTCCAAATATATTTGTTCCTTGATGTCAGAGTCTACACCCTCTTCAGATATCTGTATTTCTTCTCGAATAGTTAATGGACCATCGAAATGTAAAATGTATCATATATTACCAAATATCGACTCTATATTTCAGAATATTTTCTGAATGGATATTTGAGGTTGTCCAACTATTCAAGGATCAATATTTCTAATAGTTCATTGAGAAGATACTATACAGATAAATACCACTCATCAGTTTTTAATGGCGCTTTCGATCCCCACACGTGATAATTGGCGAACAATTGTTTTATGGCAGCCGCCGCAGCGAATGAGGTCCTGACTGGGCCGGCATGATTTACTGGCGCTTTAACGATGGAACGAAGGTTATGTGTTGTTTTACTTCATTTTTCGTTGATAACTAGGTGTCCGAACGATTTGTCACATGTAATGCTACAAACACAGTTTATACATTATTCCTTGAACCAAGCCACAAGGATGCGTTCATAAGCTAACTCAGAGAAAGGATTTCTACAAGTTGTCCGAAGCGTTCATGTTTATTGTTGTTTGTTTATGTTATGAATGGATATCTGCTCGATCATCCTCAGAAATATTCGTTTTTTGATGATGAAGTGTATATCCCTTTCAGATAATCTATATTTGTCACATGATTATGGAATATACTCCACATATATCATTAACTGTGTCAGAAGGATCCGTTCATTATCTCACTCTGAGGATGGATCACTCCAAATCGTCCAAAGCGTTCACAAACCAGCCCTATAGCAGTTCAGACCAAGACTATGCATATATTTTCAGAATCGTTCTGAAACTCATTCAAAGTAAGCTCTACCCGAGGCTCTACCTATTATTCCTCTCAAATTCACAAGATGTACTCTGAGAGTCATGTAAGGTTTGTTCATCGGAGTTTGTTTATATTTTGAATAAATATCTACTCGATTATTAGGAACATTCCAAATCATGTAAGTCCAGAAAATAATATAAGGAGGAAAACGCAATTGAATATTCGAATCAACCTGTAAAATTATAACGAAATTAGACTTAAGTGGATTTTCATTGACTATATCTCCGGAAACAAACGCAAAATGGACTTGAATGTTTATTTGCCTGGAGCGTTACGCTAATATGGACCTATGTGTGATAAATTCCTCATTTCCGAAAAAAGTGGACTTACAGGGTTCTGCTTGTACGCCCACGATATGTTAATATTTTGATACATGACAAAATCAATCATCTCACTCGTTCACCTACAGTGCTTTTATAATTTGTCTTGGTTTCCTAGATATCTGAAAAAATTCATTTCGGTGTTCCTCTATAGTTTTATCATCACGATTTTCATGTTCTGCAAGTTTTTGCCTCATATGTGTTGAGTTATTGACCACAATAAACATGATTATGACCTGCCCACTTCAGCATATGATAATGTAGCTGGTCATCGTTAAATTCATAAATTTTTTCTCGAATGAATTCTTCCTACCAGGAATCTTGAAATGAAATTCGGAAATGACCAGCTCCAAAATTATATTTTTTTTATGTTCTGGTTCCCACGTATAGGGATATCCTGTAATGTAATATTCAGACAACATCGTAAGAACCAAAGGTGATAAGGTAGGTATTGGTGGACTTTTTTAATTTCTAGAGGTTATATACCTCGGGGTACACCTCCCTTGGCAATGTGTTCCAGAGTCTTGCTGTTCGTTGGATGGACGAGTCTTTGAAATTGATAATAGCTATTTATGCACCAAGGTAGTGAAGAGTATCATTATTACCCAGGAACCAAGATCATATCCCGAGGCTTCAGCCGAGTGGTATATGGTTCCGTGATAATAATATTATGTCATTGTATACCTCCTTTACACCTGAAGTAGAACCAAAAAACTATTTACTGCTGAAGTTACCCATTCAAGTTACACGCACTCTTGCTCAACTTCGTCTCTGTAATAAATTTCGTTTGAAATTCACTTACAACAATATTTCATACATAATTGACCCAAACAGCATCTGTACAGTTTGTAACAGAAATGAGAATGAAACACTATTACATATACTTTTCGAGTGTCCTATTTACAACGTAATGAAACCAAAAGTTGATTGTCTAATGAATCTCCAATCTCTCTCCTCAACCCTAGAAGCCATAGATATAGAAAATGCTAAAATAATTTGTAATTACGTACATGATATTCTGAAACTTCGATCATTTATTCTGAGCGAATAACGGTCAATATTAGTATAGGTACTTATAACTTACTAGGATCACTGTAAACTAAAATTTATGTTCCCAACCAAACCCTTGCTGTAACTTTATGTTTCAAGGCAATAAAACTATTATTATTATTATTATTATATTGCTTACTACCAAGGTTTATATTAAATTTTTTCACCACTAGCAATATGTTTCAATCATTTCGGTTCTGTGAAACCGAAATATGGAACTATTGTCACTATGAAAGCACTTATTTTCAATACATGGCAATGACCATGACAACATTTGACAAGTCGTTATTGATGAATACCTACTAGATTCGACAAGATTCCAGTGACATTCCTGCGAATATCTGTTAAGAACAGTTAATTCGGGATATTTATAACAGAGGTGGCTACGTCTTTATTGACTAGTGGTTAACATTATGACACTAACTACCTTGGTACTGGTCTGGGATTGCCTTCAAAGCCTGCTAACCCTGGCTAACCACAACGAGGTAACTCTTCGGGTGCTAGGGCATAAGGGAATTGAAGGCAATGGAGCAGCTGACGCTTTTCCTAGGCAAGGGTCTGCGGCGTTGTTTATCGGCTCGGAACCTGTGTTCGGTATCCCCAAAACCTCAATACGCGACTAGCTGGCAAGGTGGATACGAGAAAGACATCAGGCATACTGGAACAATGTCCCAGGACAAAGACACAGTAAACTGATGGTTGAAACACTGTCCAGAACAGTGACTAACGACATTCTGAGCCTGAACAGAAGTCAGATCAGACAAGTGACGGGACTAATAACTGGTCACTGCCCCTTGAGGAAACATATGCATCAAATGGGCATCTATACAGACGAACCCATATGCAGACTATGCAATGAGGAGGAGGAGGAAACTGCCACTCATGTAATATTGGAGTGAGAAGCACTAGCGCGTTGGAGATACAACCTTCTGGGAGCATTAAACTCTCAAGAGGCTTTTCCAACGAATGAATCGGTGAAGAGGCTGCTTATAACCTTATCAAGGTGGCGAACCTGTTCACCTAAGTCAACAGCATCATCAGGAATACAATAGGCCCACCTACTACCTTGGTAGTAAAAAGAAACTTAATGCCTCGGAAAGGAGTGAATAATGGTAAATAATTCATAGCTAGTGGTGAAAAAACATGGTTTTGCGGTCAATAACTCAAATGGGGTATAGAGACGACAAAATATGATAGTTCTAACATCATGAACGAGTCGCCTGGAGAAGCATCAAAATGAATTTTGTTATTCATCTCGTGATCCTAGAAAGATGATAGGAAAACTGCAGTTACGAAAAAGTGGGATAATTGACTTTGACATTCTTTGAAATATCGAAATGTGTTCAGTGCCGTACTCCAAAAATGTTTTTTCAAAGATAATGTGAAATACCTAACCCCCTGTATATTGATTGAATTAATACGACATGTTCACCTTGTAGAATCTATGGTACTTTTGTTCTGGAACACCTTGTATTTATTGTATTTAACGCCACCAAAACTCAAGCCTGTATTTTCTCTAGAGAGGCGACACTCAATATACCTGATATATCAATAACTGGAATTATAATTTCCAACAAGTCCACTTTATCTATGCTCAGTACCTCTATCGGCAATTACCTTTCATGGAAAAATCATGTGAGATCTACTGCGAAAACTGCTTCACAAAAACTTGGATTTTTATTACGTGCAAAAATATACTTCACACCTCAACGGCTTCTAATGATCTATGAAGTACAGATACGGCCTATTTCAGAATACTGTTCCCACATATGGGAATCAGCGCCCAAACATAAGCTGATGCTGACGCTAACCATGAAAAAGTTGGCGACCCCTCACTTTTATTCAGATATTTCTACGGAAAATACTCCTCGGAAATCTCTGCTATCCTCCCATCACTAGCGATACCAGGCTGACAATCCTGGCAAGTTTAGTCAGCACAATTTCATTGTTCTTTTTTTTTTTATTTTGATTCTTCTATTACCATAACACTCTCAACAAACACGTATTGTGGAACATCATTAATCTATCAGTCATCATCAACATTGTAGAGGTCATATGATA